GATATAGAGTGTCTCGATCATGTTTTTGTTACACGAGAAATTGACGATCGATGTATCCTGGTACACACAATAAATACAAGTATTCGATTCCCGTGTCACAGACGATCCTCCTGTTGTTTTGCTTGTGTTAAAAGATACATGTGATACACCACATGCTGTTTGTATGCGCGAGTTTATGCGTACTACGCAACATATAATATTCTGTACAATATTCAAAAGAATAATAACTGCAATTTTTATATGCATCATTCGCATTTGCGAAACATTTTAACATTCACGATTGAAATATTTTAATATAATAACATTACGATAGCATAATAATAAAGCATTCGAATATTTTTCACGGAACATAAGTTTTATATATTCATATGCTTTTGATATTTTTCAAACTAAAAATAAAATATAGTATATTTTTTGTTAGATGAGACAGAGAGAGAGAGAGAGAGAGAGAGAGAGAGAGAGAGAGAGAGAACATGTTTTTGCCTTTAATTTTAAAACTTTCTACTATTTGTCATGTGATTTTCTACTTTCATCATATTGTGCATTGAAATTTTTCATCCTTTTATATTTTGCGTTATATTCAGAATACCTGAGAATATACTCGCACAGGTTCTTGCAACATTACATAATGCGCTTTGGTATTCTTTATATTCGAATAAGATAACATAGACACCAATGTCGTGAGTATGATGGATATTCGCCTGCATAAAACAAAATGTGTCAGACTTTTCGTGCCATCTAATAATATAGCATATTTTCAAGAAAATGAGAAAGAATGCAGAGAGATTTTATAAATTAATTTTAGAAAAATTATTTTACAAAAATCTAATGAAAATGCTACACAATTAATCATTTAATAGTAAATATAGATTCAATATTCAAATTATTGAATAATAAACTTATATATTTTCTGTGAAAATTATTGCAAAAAAAGGTATAATATTACAATAAAATTATAATTATTTTCTCTTCCTTGCTCTTTTGCACGCGTTTAATATTTTATACGCGAAATATCTCGGGCACTGACGTATATCTCATAGTTTATTCTAGAACAATGCGGTGAAAAAGACTTTGAAAAACACGCGTCTGAAGGCAGCGACCTGTGATCGATTAATAACACGACATGCACACAATAACGCGCCCGATTGTTGTCAAAAATGAATGAACACCGAAAACGCTACAAGCGTGCAGGAGAAGGACATCTCTCAATGGTCATTATCCCATTATTGAACGATCGACCCGACCCTTTCGGAATATTAAAGAGCGATCGAGTGTTTTCCGATTATTTTCCAAGCTATACACGATATCCCGCTTAATTTCAACGTCGGTCACAACGATACATGTACGTACGTAAATTTTTCAGTTGATAGCGTATAAAAATAACATAGAAAAAAGGTCGCGAATTAATGACAACGGCGTAGCCATAACACGGCGGCGAATCTGATCGATCGTTGCATCTGTCGAATTTACCCTTTCGCAGGTTGAACGCACCATAATTCCACTTTGCGATCCACCCATGATGCTTTTATAGGCTCTCACCCCACTCCCGCCAAACAATACTGGAGCATATTGCCGTGTATTATACGAATTATTATGCATAGGCGCAGAGGCATCGGCCTTGAACAAATATAATAAATATACCGGGTGGTTACATCGGCTTAAGTGCACGTAGCCAGACCTTATGGCGTCGAGGTTTCCGCTTGCGCTACATTTACAGCGATTCTATCGGCATGAATGCGCTCGCCCGAGGTATGTATCTGGGTCGAAAGATATGGGTCTATGCGGAACCTCGCGATAGTCGTTGTACTTTGACTAAATCGATCGAAGAAGGGAGATGCAGGGATCAATCATGGAAAATGTTAAAATTTTGCCGAGCGTGACACGGTAATGGTTCATTAAAGTGTAAAGTTCGCCTTAGTGCGAAATACCCGGGGTAACGTGAAAGGTCTAAAAATATAATCGTTATGTGTGCGCGTAGCGAAAGGTCAGTGGTTTCGTTTATGCTCTAACGTATTGTTAAGCGTAGCCACTTTGCGCGAGAAAATTTGAATACATTCTCTCGTATAATGATTTAAAACCCGTTTCTACGTTATCTCTGTAAAATTCGCGAAAATATTCCCCACTCTACTTTTTCTCTCTCTGTCTTTCTGAATTTTTAAATATATATATATATATAAGAGATATTTTTATGATCAGAGTTTAATTTTGGAGCTCGACTTGAATGTTGCCTTCTGCAGGGAGAACCTTCCAAGAGGTCTTCTTAAGAAATACATGTAAACGCGAAACCGCACATCTCGTATATATATTTTCTCGAGCTTTGTAAGACGACTTGCATGGCATTTGTAACGTCGTCCCGAGGGTAGCGAAAGGGTTGCGAACCGCACAATAATGTCTCTCTCTCTCTCTTTCTCTCTTTTTACCCACCCACGACGACTTTCGTCGGCAACGACTGCGTCCTCAGCATCGACCCGAATTCGTGAAATTTGCTCACAGCGCGCTTCTCTATTCGCTTTATTTCTCCGAGCTTTATCTCCTTCGGGATATCCCTTTACTACACATCGCCGAGAAACAGGTTATCGATTTGCTTCGTGCCGGTATAAGCTTCAAAGCCAATTCATCAGGCAAGTCTCAAGACGACGTGAATCGGGACGATGGTGGCGTCGGAGGCGTCGCGACACGAATTCGCGACGTTAACCCAGATCGTCGTCCTTGGAGGTGGTCCAGCCGGTCCCGACCGTCGGTTGCCAGGATACCCGGAGCCTGTGAGAGGATCGCCGCGGAAAATACGCGGATGACGCGTGTTTTTTTGTTCGACACGAAACGGGATTCCGGCCAGCCCCGTATCTCTCGAATAAAAGAGATCGCAGAGAGTTTTCGCGCTTCGTATAAAAGGATAAAACATTACTGCCGCTCGTAACTCAAGTGACATAAGAGAGTCCGGGAGAAACAAATCTGTGACCGATCATGTTGAACGTGATTACGTTAATCCTTTTAGTCTACCGGATAATCCGGCGGATTAATTTTTCTCTTATTTGTAATGGAGAAATAATGTAGGTACGTCGTAAAAAGAAAACTGATATAGAATTTTTTATTTATATTCTTTTGTATTTGTTTCTTTAGATTTCTATTTGCTCTTGCATTTCTTCTATATTCTTTATTGCTAAAGACGTAAATAAATAAATTTTTTTATATTTTTCATACTCTTGCAAACTAAATATTTCATTGAAGTTTATACCGTGAATATTTTTGCACGTATCGTAACAATGTATCATCGACCAAAACCACTCTATTACGACACAATGGAAACTTTTTTCAAATTTGTGAATATACATACTTTAGGCGAATTGCACTTTTTGTTTTCCTCGTTCTCTCGTGTGATACTCAGAGTACAAACTGCAATTGTTAAACTGTAGTGGCGAGAATTTCATTGCACTTGGCGCGCGTTATTGTGTGGCAAAGTGCACTTGAAAATTTTCCGTTGGGAATTGAGATTTTCCGTATTGTTCTACGTTTTGTCCCTTTCTCTTGCATTCGTAAACATTTCTACGAGAGTGGAAGGAAAACATTTATAAAGCGAATATAAAGTTTCGTTTGTTATGGGAATTATGTCTCTCAAAACAACGGTACTGCACATTATGAATCCAAATTCAAACTTTCAAAAGTTTATCGTGCTCTTTCATCACACACATAATTTTCTATTTTTTCACACTCTTCTCTTTAATAAAATCTATTTGTAAAAACGTTTTAACGCGTTACAAACAAAATTATATGTATGCAAAGAGATACAATAATTTCATAACGAAATGTAAACTTGTCTCAAAAAATGCATATTGATTTGTGTCAAGGAATATGTAAAAAAATAAATAACGCAAATTTCTCGCATCAAAGACTCCATTAAAAATAAGTACAAAGAATTTCAATATTTCTATTAATTATTATATTTGCTTCAGTGTGCAAATTTTGATCGCACATCTTCAGCATAAAGTTCTCTTACGCAAATGCCACTTATGCCTTCACTTGTACGCGTTAGACGATGTTTCGTGAGTAAAAGGGCGATGAAAGGCGCGCCTTGTACTTAAGGGAAAGTACGCATCGAGCAAATGAGATATAAATTTCCTCTCCCGTTTCGTCGATCATTTATTCGACGGTTCTCGATCGGTCGCGGATGGAAAAGCACAGCGAGTAGAGCCAGGGGCGATGTACACTTAAATAAAGGGTCGCCACGTCGCTCGTGGACGTTCTAAATAGATGGGCAATGGGTTCTTGAATTATGAGCGTTCGTATCGAGTTGGCCTAATGCAATTATCCCTTTTAGAGTATATTGGCTCCATTTGTGTATTAAAATTGAACGCAGCCGCGTGCACTTTCTTGCACATCTATTAAGTTCGATTAAATGGCCTTTAATTTGAGTAAAAGGCGAATGAAAAAAATCTATGAAAAATAGGTATAGATACTCCTACCACTAGTGGCGCAAGCAAGCATTTTTCATTATATGTTTTATTATGTTGAAGAATGCGATTTTGTTTCAAAGAGAGTCTCGCATGCAATTTCTTTTGAAATAGTTTACGAAATAGATTATATCGATTATATATATATATAGCTATGAATAATTTCCTTCCATAACTTTGTCAAATTCACATATTGCTGTTAAAGATACACGCAGAAAATTGAGCATCAAATATTACATTCTCTTCTTTCAATACCGAACAAATTAATTAATGCTATTGAAGTTGTCGGTCGCAAAAAAATGGTTCGCGACAGTAAAGAAAAAAATCGACAATTGTCTTTCGCATCATATAGCAAAGAATGAAAAAGTCTGCGTTTCACAATGCCCGCAGGGTTCTCGTTGCAGACCAGGAAACATGTTTGCGGCTAACGTCCAAGAAGATCCAATTATAACAATAAAGTATTTTTAGAAGATAACTCAACTCTCGCAAAAAATACAGCTTCTCATCTTTGCTATATTTTGACAACGTCTGCGTAATAGTTTATCCTCTTACCTTGTCAGACTGCATTCGTGGAAGTATTTCGAGCATGGACGTAGTATTTCAGGTCACATCTACTTGCGAAGATTCCATATTCTCGATATGTCGAGTAATCCTGAAAAAATCAAGAAAGTCACACATTACAATATAGTTATAAAAATATTAAATGCGCTTAAAAGAAATCTTGGAACAAGCATTAAATATAATATTTTAAAATTCATATATACTATATAGAAACATTAAAAGCTTATACAAAATTTTAAAAGGTAAAATTATTCATATCAAAATATTGTTTAACGTATAATAGAATTACTTTGATATATATCTCATGAAAAAATCAATATTTATTTATTTATTCCTATTAAATTTTCACAAATATTAGCGGCCGCAGAATTTTCTCGGGAATTGATTTTCCCGCATTGCGCATACGTATGCGTTACATAATCTAGATGGGAAAAATAAATTCGCACAAAAATCTCTTCGGCTGCTATAAAAAGCGAGCCGGGACGCAGAAATCGGGTGTGAGCGGCTTTCGCGGTGTATCGAAAATTGCACGTTTCACAGGTATATCGGGGAGAAAACTGGGATACGCGCGGAAAACTTTCGTCTGGGATTTACGCGAGTTTTTCGTGCGGCGCAGCCATCGATAAGCGCGCGGCAAGGATATGGCTCCGAGATGCCTTTGTACGGTTCGTCCGGCCGCAGACAGTAAAGATAGCGGCTTTAGTAGCATCCGTGGCCCAACCGGGAGCAGGAAGAGAGAAAGGGAGACTCTCGCTTCGCGCGGGTACAAATTCGAGGACTCCGGTAATTCCGCGATACGAGCGGCAACGAGGGTAACGAGCTTCCCGCCAGATTATCTGGCCGACGGCGAGGGCGCGGAGGATTGTGTTGGCAACGTGTGGTGTATCCTTATTCTATCCCGCTAACCGGAGCGAGCGCGACGCGGAAATATCGATTGCTCCAGCTCTCTCGTTCTCTTTCTCTCTACGCGCGGCGCGCCGTTTAACAAGCGCGCGCGTAACGATAGCCCCTTTTAAAAGATCGTACTTCTGACTTCAATGGGCCGTGTAATCGGATTAGGATCGACACAATGCGCCTGTGCTGCGCGAATGTGTAACGTTCTACGTCGATTCCATCTGCCGGCCGTCACGATACGCATATGTCCGGCCTATCAATCGTCGCATCGCTGTGATCTAGGGCTTCTTTCGAGGATCGAAATTCGAGGAGATATAATGCGAGATGATACGGAATAAAATAATATAATTAAACGAGAAAGAGATTCGAGACGAGGTAAACAGGTGGTGAGATAGCAGAAGTGGATTTCGGTTTAGGAAGAAAAGAAACAATGCAAAACGTGTCCTATAGCGAATTTGGAGAAATATTAATAAAAAGTATATAATTAAACACACATGATCTAAAATATGTTTGAAATTTGCAAATTACCTTGTTTGTCACAAAAGCGACGTTGTCGGTGTTAAACGATCTCATTATCTGATAAAATAATGTGGCACATCTGATAATACGATATTGCAGTTAGTCTCAATTCTAAATACATGTACGTTCTCATCAAAATATTGATTTACGATTTCTCGCACAAGAACGCGTAGAGTGCAAATAATAGAGAGGGATAGAGAGTATTCGCATTACGAAATTGTTTGCTCCTAACCGAAAATTTATTGCCACTTATCGTTGTTTATCTCTCTCTCTCTCTCTCGCTCTCTCGAATATCTGCGATAAGCGAACTAAAATTGCGAACATTAAAATGAAGCATTATACAGTTCGCGATAATTAACACCATGTTTCAAATGTGCAACTCGCGTATAACCGGTGGATGTTAAATCAACGTAGGATCTTTTTCTTCGTTGTGAAAATTATACACAAACTTATATAAAATTAATTCGTTATTCGTTGAATATATTCCGGCGTCACGAGAGCACGAACGATCCGTCAACGTCATCTCGAATAGCGATTATGCGTGCCCGAATGAACCGTTAATTATCAGTTGCAGTCTGCACGCTTCTCAGAACCATACATCAGCATCGGACCCTTGGCGTGTCTCGAACGAAAGCATATTCGCAATAATAATATTTACGAATTTTAGATCGCAGATTCGAGCTCGTATCGTAGGCGTATTAAATTTGTGATAAACAGCTGCATCAAGTAACGTATATGTATACATAGGGAGCATTTCAAACTTTTATTATCAATACCGAGAAACAGTCGAGCCGTTTTAATACTTCATCTTATTATACAAAAATATTCGATAAGAGATGAATAATCGAGAGTTGTTAGAGATTATTTTTGTAATATAAAATTTGTCGCTGTAGTTGATTTTAATGGTTGTTTTAAAAAAATGATTTTAATTCAAAGTTTAATTACCGAGATATTTAATAAATATATACAATATTAAATAAATACTGAAAGAGATATAAAATTGAATAAAATAATATGTAAAAATAATATATAGAATACAGTATTTAAAAATATCAGTTTTCGCAGTTGTATAATACGACGAAATATCCAAGATTATATCTAGATTACATATAAATTTCCTTATTTCATAATTCATTAGGTATACAAATTCAATATACATATGGTTGTACTTGAAAAAAAAAAAAATAATCTACCATGCATTGGAAAAAAAAATGTGTCAACTTGACTAAACTTTTCAACTAAATTGCTATTTTGTTAATTGAACATATATTAGTATTTAAGTCAAATATAGGTTTTGTTAGATTTCATATGTTATATTGAATTAAAATATTCGTATATATTCAATTAACAAAATAATATTTGAAGTTGAAAGGTTTAGTCAAGTTAACAACATTTTTGTTTCAGTGTGCAAATCCGTTATGCATCCCGTTTGTTTCGTTTCCCCGAGTGCAGTCTCTCGCAAAGTGCTGCATAAAATTCAGTATGGAGTGTTTATGCCTTTTCTGGAAAACGTAGGTGGTTGTTACAAAATGAAACAAATAGACAAACCCATTTTTAGGATGCTGCAGCAGTAAAGCGAACTTCCCCGCGTTTTAAATTATTCACGTCGTTTCTTATTAACCGGCGCCTTATATTCCATTGGAATACATGTTTCTCTCCTTCCCTGAACACAATTTCCTTTTATCCGCGAATTACCATAATTTGCCAGATCCGACAGTGCAATTTTTCGTTTATATTAAGTTCCGTTATGTTAAGTTTTATGTAAGACCACGACTTTAATCTACGAGTATTCCCATGAACAGTGCGGGATGTCGCGTTCGTGCCGCGACTGCGAGAAGATCGCGGTCGCGTTAAATAAGTGAGCGGTTCTTCGTGTCGTGGAAGAAATTTTGCAGCAGCCAAACGAATTTGCGAGTCCGCTCTCCCAGTTCTCTCCCGGTAAACTTGGCTCGAGATCGACGAACGGTTCGTCAATCAGTAAGTTACGGTCGACGTCCGGGCTTTACGGGCTTCCATACGTCTCCTTCGTCTTATCGCGCACGCGAAGACGACGAGAAATAAATCCATCCGTTCTCCCCCAGCCTCCGACCAAACTTCTGCCTTCCGGTCGTCGCAAAGTGTTTATACTCTCGATAGAAGCGAGAGAGAGAGAAGCGAAACGAGGTGGGCGCGAAAAAGGAGCCGAGAAGCGTGGACACAATGCCGCCCTTTTACAGCAAGAAGCAGTCAGCGTTTGAAAGTTTCCCCTTGGAAAAATATCACCTTCTTGCTCGAGGGACCAAATAAATGTAACTCCGTTACCACGAGGAGCCTGTCGCGCTTTGGCCTCTCCTCGGAGACTCGGTCTCGATATCCTCCCGCGTGCTCCCTTTCTCTCGGAAACCGTGGCGAGCACTGCACCTTCCCTTATCTAACGAAATCGGAACCGAGTTCGGAAATTCCAACAACTAGGTAGGAATTTCGTATGCCTGAATTGATATGAACAATGTGAAAGATTAGTAGAAACACATTATTTTGCGCAATTAATACAATACATTTGTAGACTTTGACAGTATATAACGATAAATCGATCGCTTCGTTTGAGATATTATTGTATTGAATGTGCTATGATTGAAAAATTACATCGCAAAGTTCGATCGGCGAAGGGATTCCACGAACCATTGGAACGTTATCATGATCGCTGATACAATTTATTTTCCAACTTATGGCGCGGCAGACGAGAAAACAATGTCGTTAGTAATAGTGTGTGTATGTAAGTTTCTTTTATATATGATTGCACCAGTGAAAATATTCGATATTTCGCAAATTAAAAATTGATTAAAAATTCTTCGGCCATTACATATCTATACAATCAAGGTGAATATTTTTTCCATCTCATCTCGTCAGCAGAAATATATCTTTCAAAGCTTTCGATATTTAAGAGAAGATAAAAAATTATTTATAAAAACATAAAAAATATAGAAAAATATTAATGATATATAAATATAAATAATAATCCTCATTTGGCTAATCAAAACTAAATATAACTACGTATTCTGAAACTCTCGATCAATAATGTTTTTATACCTAAAATTGTGGCGGGAGAAGCATCAGGTATCAGGTCTTTGCTTGACGATTGAACGGTAATCACGATTATTTCGCGGTAAACATGCCGACATCAAACGGACCCCTTTTGAAATGCGCATCCGTCCCTCTCTCTCTTTATTTCCAGCCGCGTTCTCCTCTCATGTATTTACCTCTGCTGCGTTAACGAGTTTCACGTACTTGCCCAGCCTCCAGGCGCTTTTCATATCCCTGCGCACAGTCTATGCGAGTGGCATCAAAAAACATCACCCGGACGGTTTTCGTTCCTTCTTTGCGAGCAGTCAGCCGAGCCTTCCATCGAGGACGAGGACGAGGTTGCCGGGATGTCGCCTTGGAACGATACGGCATTCGAGGCGCGTAATGACGGCGCAACGGCTCCTCTCCTTCTTTCTTCCCAGCACGTTGCATCGGGGATCTCATTTCATCTCTCTCTCTCGCTCTTACTTCTTCGTAAACTAGGTATCCCCCGCTTTTATCCGCCCCCGTTCGTTTTATCTGTCCCGCTTCTGCTCGCGGATGAGCGCCGACGACAGACACCGTTCTTCTCGTTCTCGTTGGTGGAACGAGGCGAAACCCTTTCGAGCGACGGCGCCCGCCTGGCTGCCTGCCTTTTAGGCGCCGGCGAACCTGCTCCCACACAATTGCATGTACACGTACATTTACGCACACCGGTGCATACAGTACTCGATGAACGTGGGGAGGTGGGTGGTGGTAGAAGTGGAAATAGCGAAAGCGAGAAGAGGATCGGGTTCATCACTCATTTTCTAGCTCGACGCGACCTTTTCTCCCTCCTATCTCCTTCGTTCTCTTGTCTCCGACCATAATCTCATCCCTTCAATGATCGACCGAATTACAGTCGGCACGATAGCATGCCTCGGATGCAGAGCGCGCACCTGTTGGCAATTTAATCGCGTAGCGGTTCCGGGAGGGATGAGATTGATCGACGTGAAATTGCCGCGGCGATTACAAGGGCCGTTTGTATTTGTTCGGGAACGATTAATCGTCGTTAATGCAAACTATACTCGCGAGTTAGATCTGAAAAATGAGGAAAAATAATGCAGAGGCTTTCCTTCTCTTCCAAGATTCCCGAGGATCAAATTGCAACGAGAGAGAAAGAGACGCGCGCGCGTTAAATGAGACGTTGTTCATTCGCGCAAGATGTATAAGAGCGTCTCGTTTTGTTTCCGGGGGAATCCAAATTTTCTACCGGATAAAATTGCAGACAGCTGTGTCTCTTTCCCTCTCCTTTTCCCTCCCTCCACGCGAGAGGTACTATTTCATCTACTTTCTTTCTAGTTGCCTTCCTGAAGATTGATACCGAGAATGATTCATCGCGACCATTCATTTCGCCCTTACGTTCATTCGTATTCTTACTTCTTCCTTCCTTTCTTCGAGCAAAGTTTTTCCTCTTTACACGGGAAAACTTTGTTTGTACGTCGATAATTGTATATAAACACAATCACGTGCGAAATACAGATAAGCATTCCTAACTATGTTTAATGTATTGTGTTATTCATTTGACGTTTCAAGTTGGAGACGAGAGATATATTTCTTTTAGAATATTTTTAAAGATATTGGAAGAAAGAGAGGAAACGCGAGTCAGAAATCTGATTTAGAATAGAACAGGATATGATTTCATAAATCAGATTTTTGAATTTTATTCTGCACAGATTCTCTTATCGAATCGGACTTCCAATTCAGAAACTGGCAGCTTCATTTCCTCGAACATCTTTGAATATCTACTGAGATTCGAGAATCTAATTCACATAGGTAGTATTCTACCTTTCCCTTAGGAAAATCTTGCCTTTTCTCAGGTTCTTTTATAAATGTGCCTCGTAATCTATACCATTACTTTAAATCAACCTGAAGAATCGATACGTATTAAGAATCGATTGCGTATTAAAATTCGAGAACCACAATTTCTTATATACACATTTCAATATGCACAAAAAATCGACGAAATATTTTTTTATTTATCGAAAAGAATCTACCGCGTCAGTTTTCCGGCGTAAGATCGTGGAATAAATATTTAATTTAACAGCAGTTGCGCTCTTGAAGAGGAAGAACAGCGCATTATTTGTCCCTCATAAATTTATGTCTCGCATCTCCTTTCTACCGTTTATTCCTACTACGAACTTTCGGCACTGCTTTTTTATGCACCTAAGAAGATTCAAGTATTTAATAGTTGATTCTAAATGGAAAGTACGAATGTTTCGAGGCATTATTTAGCTCGACATTATTCAGTCTTTAATATATATTTTTCACGAGTCCGCACTTTACTATTTTCCGTCTGTTATCGTTTATAATTCCAACATGTCCAACAAGAATTCTAGCAATAAGTATTTATTAATCTCTATTGCGACAACAGGAAGATTAAACGAGACAATTAAAGAACGATAAAAATGTGGACAATTTACGAATCGATTCTATATATAGAATACACAGGAATTTATATTAAATCGTTTCTTTATGAATTTTTCTATAAATTCTATTGCAAACCTAAATATTAAAAAAGTTAAAATAATTATCAATATATAATTTCCTTCTGTTTTTACAATGTTTTCTCATTATTTCAACAGTTTTTAATGAATTGAAAAATGCATGTATCGCCATATGTAAACTTTTGAAATGCTTTGACTTTGTATATGGAAGTTAATGCTTGTATTAAAAAATATTTGCTTTCTTCTGAAATTTATTTTAAAATATGGAAAAAATTACTGTAAAAACATACTGTATGTTATATAAAGAGTTACAGAAATTATTAAAAATTAAACCATTACGTTATTACTTCGTTTCTATTACTAAAATAACAACGGCCCCTTATCACGAAAAATATATCTATACCGTTGTGAAAAACGCCGAGCACTTGGGTGAAACGAGATCCATTTTCGGCGCTTCGTAAACCGTCGGAAAACCACTGAATGGCGTGACGGGTTCTCTAAGAAGGGCAACTTTAAGACGATAAAACCTTAGCGCCGTGTTTAAGCAGACGCCGCGCGAGAATTACGATCTATCATCTTAGCACAGACGCGCCTCGTTTTACTTCGGATGAATTAGTAGTAGTAGAAACGGAATGCTTTAGTGCTTCGCTAGTGGATTGTAAACAATGCCGAGAATGTAAATTTCAAAATAATCGTGGACAGCGTCGTTCAAATCATGCATGATTTCCCCTTATTTATTATTATTTTTTTTTTTTTTGACATATCGAATATCATCATTCAAGCCACGTGTATGACGAGAAGCCCTTATTCTTTTCCAAAAATCTAATAAAAATGACTCGCTCAATTTTCGACTTAAATCGCCATCAATCGTCCCCTAACAAGCATGGACCTCTTTATTGCCAGACGATCGATCAATACGCAGACGTTACGAAGGACAGAGCGAACGTCACCAGTCGACTTCACACGACGGAAAAAAAAGACGTGAGAGCATCCCTTGTCCACGATTGTAGCCTTCGATGTAAACAGACCACTGACAAATGATAAACAAGCGGAGCGTCGACTGTCTGCATCTTTTCCGCTCTTTCTTCGTCTCTCGGATCATCATCATATAAGACGCGTTTTCTCGCGTCACGAAAGACGCCAAGGGTCTAAACCGTATACCACGCGAGGGTCGGCAGGTTTATTTGGAAAAGGACGACCCTCTTGAGAGAAAGACGACGTAGAGGCCGTAACCGCTGATGGGGTTTTTGTATACTTGTCGAAATAAAAGGGGAGGCAACACTCTCGTGACTGCATCGGAGCATCACTTCGAAATTGTAATGTTGCGTGTGACGGAACAAAGTAATTGAGAGATAATTGCTTCGCCAATTGAGTGCCACAATGACAATGAGAAATTTTTATAACGCAATAATGATAAGGATAAAAAGTATGTTGCGATTTTTAAACTTGTTGCAGAAAAATATAATGCGTTTTAATCGTACTCAAAAAATATATATTTTAGTTGATTTTTATTTTATTTTTTTTTTAACAATTTAATTTGATAGATTGTTTGCCCCTTCTGTGAAAGAAACTTGTCCATTCTTCTATGTGATATATAATGATAAATTATATTTCCCGCTCCATATACATATATATTCCATTGAGTACAGCGTTTATATGCAAACTCGAATTAAACCACGCTATATTTGAGTACATAAGCTTTTGAGTAATTATGTGTACACGAAAGACGTAATTATGGATCTTACAACACCGTGGCAATATTTACACGAATTTACAACATAAGTACAAAATACGTTATCAATCTTTTTAGACGACTGATTATCGCTATTCATTCGCGAACAATAAAAACTCTAACAATGTAGCGATATGTTGTAAATTTCGTGACAACAAAGAAATTTATTAAATGCCAACACATGATAATAACGATATAATAATAACAAAAGATAACATATATATTACGTATGCCTTCGCCATGAGTTCCGGAAATTAATTGAGCAGAAGAATTCGCGCAACAGTGCAATTAAATACTAATCGCAGTAAATTTAATCATCATTTAGCTCTATTAAATAATAGAATATATGATAACGCAGTATATAATAATGAATATTATCTAATCAGCCCGACAACAACGAGAGAAAGATTGATATATTTTGGATCTAAATAATTGCAATAGACAACTCGAAATAAAATAAATTGAAAAAAAATTAGGAAGATGAAGAACGAAGAATTTTATGTAACATTTAAATTAAATAATTAATTTTATTATATAAAATTTTATATAGGTATAACATCTTTTCTAAATAATATATACACATTTATACGTATATATATTTATATATATGTATTGTATATAAATTTTAGATAAAAAACGCTGTCCCTTTGTATTTTTTTCCAATTTATTTTACTGATCAGAATTAAGTGGCATATCACAGTCATGTAAACTAAAGTCTATCAATCTTTTTTCATACTGTCCTGCTGTGTCAAACTGATTAGTGTCCATTTTTTATCACTAGAGCATATTGCGTCGATACCCAACGTTATACGCGGCAACTACATAAGCCGTTGTCATAAATTGCCGATTTTTGCATATGTCCACGGGTACAGCATAGAGCGAAACAAATTCCGAAAACAAGATTGCTGCATATATATAGATATATACGATATATATATATATATATCCTATAAACAAAAATCCCTTGCTGTCGGGAGATTTATATTCGTTTGGGAAAGTGTGTTATGCCCGTGTTTACGAGCATACGATGCAGCGACGTAGGAGAGAAAATAAATGGTCGATCGAGAAAGAGAGTCGATATATATGGGAGGTAAAGTGCAATATTGGGCCCCGCGTGTAAAAGAATGTCAACTATAACAAGTATAGTTTAATCTAAGTTATAAATAACACGTACGCGTTTGTATGCCTTTCATATCAATCTAAATGGAAAAATAATGAAAAGAAAATAAAGCCTTCTCCTCCCTCTCTCTGTCTTTCTCTTTTAATGTATTTTACCGTTATATTTATTAAAGAATATGTACGTGCGTACGTAGTCCGACTTGTATTCGACAAAATATGTACTTATTGTTTCACAATATGTATATTAATGTCATAAATTAGTTTCGATTCGTACATGCATTCGCGAGCGAGGGCGTTTGACCTTCGGAATTTTCTCAATACGGCGGTTACGTTTGAAACGCGAGTTACACATCCAATTTGCTCGTCCGCCGAGGCTCTTTCCAATCGCCTCGGTTTAGAATACATACAGCATGAGGAAAATACAAAGCCGACTTACCGTCGTAGACAAGCGCGGGATGAAGAAAAGGACAGAAAGGTGTGAATCGAGGAAAGATTTGTCCGCGGAAGGTCGTAAGGCACGTACGTGAATCGGCCGCCATATCCCACTACACTGTACCTGCGTGCCGACGAGGTCCCGCGTCGGCGGAGAGAGCCGAGCGGCGCCGAGCGCGGCCGAAGGCCATGCCGAGCGTGCGAGCGGCTCTCCCCGCCACAGTTCGAGATCGGCCAGCGCGACGACGTGACGTGTTGTAGTAAGTCGGCCCGCGCTAAGAGTCAACCGCCCGAATGCGTTGTCCCATTTAGTGGTTCTTCCATCCATTCAACGATCGATCCGGCTCTGTCGATCGCGAGTCGCGGTACGCGATCGCGTGTGGTGTTTGTCAGTGAATAAAGAGCGGCAAAAATTGACGAACCGAGTGTGAGGAGGACGAAGTGAGGAGAGACTTGTTTTTTTTTTCTCAAGGAGAGAGTGAAAAAAGGCCAGCGATCGCGTCACCATGGCAGTCCGTCCCGTCTGCGTCACGATCGCCGTCCTGTTGCTGCAGCTAACAGGTAAGCAGGCGGGAATATTTTATCGCGCGATCAAAGCGAACCGTGGAATTCGCCCATCGGAGGAATTTTCTCGAGCGTGCGCGCCTGCGTTTCCCATCGCTAACCGCTTCTGTGATACCGTTCGCCGCGCCTCGAGGTTGATAGTATGTGTACGTACATGTGAAAGAGCGAGAGACAGAAAGAGAGAAACGGACGCGCAACATCGGGCACGCGAGTACACTCAGCAGGTGGTTAATCGTAGCGTTCTCGGTAATCCGATACCGCCGTTTCATGAACGCGATTAACGGGCGCTCGTGGAATTTGAATTTGGTGTCGCGCGCGTCCGCCGACGTCGCATTGCATATCACTTTGAATTGCGTCGCGCGTCCGTTTAAATTCGAAACGGCCGCCAACCGCTGTCCAGCCTTTTACCTGCCCCGCGGTTAGCGCACCTCTCTTTCTCTCTCCTCTCTCTGCTTTTGTTCCCGACGATACCGGCGATACGCGTCCTTTTGCGCGCGCGCGAGCGAGCTCGTCGACACGGTTTCCTGACGGCCCGCCGAACGATTCTCTCTCGTGCAATTGCATCTCTATATGCGCGAATTCGTCAGCGATGAATCATTTACGTTGGCAATAACTTCGCGGTAAACGTGAATCATATCCAGAGAAATTTGATTTCCAAGATAATTTTGATGAGAAAGCAACTAACATCTTTGAATAAATATTCTATGTATTTCTTCATCAAATTTTTATTTAAAATTGAGGTCGCATACTTGTGAGTACATATATCACATTTGATGGAATATGTTTGGAATCGTTCTTTTATTAATAATATAAAACAATTTTTTATGCATTATTTCGCATTATTATCGTCTTTTCAATCAAGTTTACTGATGCAGATTTTTTGAACAGTAAATCTTTTCCTTTCAATACTGTTTTATATAAAAAAAGACCGCAGTAATCGAATCTAAAACTAAACCAATATTTAAACATTACTTAAAAGAATAATCCTAAAAAAAATTGTTATACCGCAAAAGTTTTAAGAAATTTTCCATCTCAAAATTATTTTGTAACGTTTATTAAAACTTGAACTTGTAGTTTACTTGGTGTTTACTTGAACCTGAAAAATATATAGCAGACATAAATTCCTCTACTCTTTTCATAAAAAATACTTGTTCCAACTTTACGATTTTTTTCGAGATGTCTCATTATATATATATATATTTTGTCGGAATTTTTTTGCGTCTGGGAACGCGAACAATCTTGAAAAGTTTTCTCGCAGTCTGGGTTTTTTCTCGAGAGCGAACTTGAGGAAGGCTCTTCTTCGTCGTTGCACCTGAGCAAACGTTCGTCCCGTACCTGTTGGGGCACCCGAGATAGGTGGATTTTTCTTTCCGGAAAAAAGGGCGTTCGTTGACAACACATTGCGAAACTTAACCTTCGCAACGGAAGGAAGAAGGGAAACAGAATCTATAAAAGTCATCCGTCCTATTGTAGCTTCTTCGTCCACTTTTCTCGAAATTGCTCATTCGACCTCGACCGGACTATGCTAGTGGATACCTGGATCTCGTGCCAAATTCCGACGAAGGAGGAGGCTGCTCTCCCTTCTCTGACCTTTTCATTCCTCCTCGAGTATCCTCTCTCTTTCGCGATCGTCCGTTTATAATCCGGCTCTTCGCAAAGCGCGTCTTTCTCTCTCTCTCTTCTCTTTTATCTGGTTCTGCCTCGACGAGGTTTCGTGGAATCGTCTCGAGAAGCACCTCATTTTCCTCTCTTCTCGCGTTGTCTCTCTGCCTTGCAAAAGCGTCGTCGTACCCTTATCAGTAATTTATAAACAAGCGTATGAAGAAAGAGAGAAGAGAGAAGGATGCTAGAAAAGTACCGTTCGCTGATACGTTTCACTTTCCAACGTTTAACACGGCTGTTCTTTCCCAGACATGTTTCTTTCCCTTTCCGTGATAGAAACTGAAAGTTCGGGCTTAATCACTTTGATACATTTGTGACATTTACCCTTTTTTCTCTTTCAAAGATCCAATTACTAAATATAAAAAAAATGTTTAAACATTTTAAAGGCGACAGTATATAATAAAATCACAGAATCGATAGTATAATAAAATCACAGAAAAAAATATATTTCATTAAAAGAAAATAATTCATGTTCGTCAGAGATGTTGTGTATATCGAATTTAGGGAAGGGAAGAATAATACGAATATTTTCTTTTTTTTTCTTTTCTGAAATAGATAAGTTAAACGTGATGGTATTGAATTGCTCGGCCATGATTTGATCACAACATTACGACGCGAACAATAGAATATATTTCCGTGTAAACGGAATTTGTGCGACGCAATCACCTTGCACGTTCCCTTTAACAATGACATGTAAAGACTTCGACAGTTCAGGGTGAAAAAAAACATCGTGAAAGAAGATGCTTTGAACGGGATAAAGGAGCCTCGACGAAAATCTCCTCGTCCGATTCCATCGTAAATTACGACGCGCCGTCACTCTCGATCGCAAGTCTTGCTTTAAGACGACGATGGATCGTTCTTTCATCTTTTTTTTTTTTTAATTTTTTTTGTCGTGCTGCTTCATTGTCGCGGTCTGTCCGACGAGCGTATAAATTATAGCGGTTGACGGTTACGTCTGCGTAATTATATGGATCTCCGTCACGTCGACCGGGGCACGCTCGTCGTGAAACCCTCTGGGAAATATTTGTACCAGGTACACATCGCCTAGAGACATGCTCGGTGCGATGGATGCTAGAGCGTGTCTGCGAGAAACTTCGGTCATCCGTCACTGTAGAACTTCTTCCGCTTCTCTTCAACAAAACGGCATATAATGATCGAAAAAGTCACTTCGTTAAATTCTTAAGAACTCATCGAAGAATGCGCGAGAGTAATTAGGATTTAGTGAAAAGTGATTTTGTACAGGGTGTAACTGTGAAAGATGTGTATTAAATTTTCTGAGTTTTACGCGCAAAAAAATCCCATGAACAAGAATTTCTGAGAAAGATTTTGTTACAGAGATAACAGTCAAAAATGATAAATCGCTTATGACTCTTATATATCATCAACGCGCGAGCACAATAACAGCTTTAAATCTTGAGATTTGAGATGTTTGTGTCTTGAAAATTTACACCAGCTTTATTTGCGCGGATTGTCATATACGTGATAAAAAATACCAGGAATATTACGGATTGTTGCGCAACCGTTAAAAATTCGCTGTTACACCTATGTCGGAGGTGAAATAAACCAGTCAATGAATTGTTTTTAATAATTTTACGTAATATAAAAATTCAATAAATGTAAATTTGGTAAGCAGGAAAGCTAGGTGTAAAAAATATATGTAATATCGATAATAAATTATAAATTTAAAGCCTGTATTTCTGTAACGAATTCTTAGAACGCTTGTTGATATAATCTTTTTCTTCTGAAACCCACTCTCAAAGTTTTATTAATATATTCACACCTATTCATACTCTCGACGTTTGTATATTCAGACTCATTCACGCACTCGATGTATTTATAAAGTCCGTTTTATATTTAAGATGAAAAAGTTGTCTTTTGATATTTAATATTACTGAAAGAAGCAGTGACAAATGACTGAAGAATCCATCATTAATATTAACGATGAGATTTCTGACCTAAGGGATTCAATTATATTTGAGTGAAGTTTTGAATGACTTCTGCTTCCAAGCGGTCTGAAATTTGAATCAAGTTGTTTTCAATGTTAGGAACATAGACATAGTAAGAATAAACCGAGCGTATCCTCCTAAGAAATAAAGCTTGGTTATACTGAAAAAAAAAAATTATTTGACTTAACAAAATATGCGGTCGAATACGTGCAAATAAATGTCAATGTAATAAGAACTAAATATTTTGTTTAATTGTTACAAAATTATAATTTTAAACAAAATACAAACAAAATATTTAGTTCTTATTACATTGATATTTATTTGCACGTATTCGACCGTAAATTTTGTCAAGTCAAATAATTTTTTTTTTTTTCAATATAAAAAAGGATAGAATGTATAAGATGGAAAAGGATAAGAATCTCTAAAGAGTGAGAGAGAAAGAGGGACGGTCCTTTCTATTTTTTTCTATCAGAGCTTTAGTTTTGATATTTGACGCTTTATTTTTACCATGTCTATATGGTCAGGAATAAATTGCGTGCTCCTAACTTTGGGAAACTAAAGAAAAAAAAGTTTTTTTATAACAAATTTTATCGACTAAAATTGTTTCTATGTCTAGTTTTTTGGTAGTGGAGTCCATAGTCCATACAACCTTACCCATTTGAAGCGAGGTTCCATGTGGATTTGAAACTGTCACGTGAAGCGAGGTTCAACCCAAACTTGCCTAATTTTTCAATAGTGGATCCCTCCGCAGGGGAGCGGAACCCTTGCTGGTTTTTTTCCTTTTATTTCCTGCAGTTGAAAACACGCACGCTTTATTCCTGACATCGAAACTTTTAAAATTTCAGACTGATCGGAAGCAAGGGTCATTCGGAATTATATTCTTATATATTTTTTTTATCGTAATATACCTTAGCAACTATCTGTCACGCGATATCCACTATCCATTTATTACACAGGATGTTGTTTCTTCAACGGATACACATAGTCATCGCTTTTCTGCAGTTTATCGCAAGTCGAGCGCTTTCAATTTTCGACACTTGGCAACTAGGTTGCCGAGAGATGAGGTCGTGTCCGTGTTTTCTTCCCACCTCCTCTTTTTGTTATTTCTCTATTAGAGCGCGCGGTAAACGATAAACTCGAACGTTGGTAGAGTGCAAAGAAACTTTTGCTCGTGCGCATCGTGTATTTTCCTGTGCGAACGGCAGATCGTGCGTTGTCAAAAATAAAGGAAAAAAAAGTCGAGAAGAAAAGCGATGGGAAAACGCAGGCGTAGCAGTTTATCGCGCAGTTATATGCGAGAAGAGAAAGAGATACGCGTTGATTATATGGTTATTGCGTCGTTCGCGCATAGGTAAAAGAATGTATTCCGCGGAAACTCAGTAACAGGAA